AAGATGGCACGCGGACCGTGGCCCATTTATTTGGGTACTGCTCTGGCATTCACCTGGTGTTGATCGGAGAAACCACGAAAACCTATTGATCAGAGCAGCTGCCTGTCAGAAATCTACTCCAGAGAGCGACTGAATCCGGCCTAACTGGCAAGGCGTCGGGACTCGAACCAAGGACCTCCCGGCCAGAGGCACTGCAGTGACATCATTTGATAACCAGAACCACCTCTCCTGGTTAGATCATTAAAGTAAGTCAACAATAAAGTATAAAAGGATGTTATTTTACCGTCGGAGTGTGAGTTTTTGGCGTAACTGCTAATGTATTCTCCTTCCACCGCAGAGGCCCGGGCTCCGGGTCGGCGGGGAAACAATTATCAAAACCAGTAGTTAAATGTTTTTATATGTGTAATATTATTGAAGGGAAATTATAAGTGAGTGTTCATTCCGCGTGCATTAACTTAGATCATTACTCCCATAAACGTTACATCCCGGCAAGAGGCGACGTTTCCACCGGCTTGCGGGATTTCCCTCTTCTCGTAACTTTCTCCAGTGGGGCACCGCCCGAGTAGATCAAGCTCTAAGCTTTCGACTGATCTCTTGACATGAGTGATAGTGAAGTGTATGTAACACTGTGCGAGAAGGGAGGGAAGAAGGTTGAGGAAGGAAATATCGCTTGCGAACAACGGTAGTTCGTTAGGGTTCTGTTTCGACATTCGCCTGATATTTATCGGAGGAGTATGTTTGAGAGCGACATGTGTGTGCGCAAGTGAATACGTCTAATTCAGTGTTCGCGCTTTTGTGTTAGTGTGAATTATATCACGTGAGTACCTAGTTGCGTACATAATATCAAGAAAGTACGTACTTAGGTGAGTACATAAGAGTATGTGAATGAGTTTGTATTTGAGATGCATCAGTACATACTTTGTTCACTCACGTTTTAATGTAGGTACAGGAGCAATCAGGTTACTTAATTAATGTTTCTTTAAAACCTATCCGTAATTTTTCCAATATGTGTTTTCTTTTTCTTAGATAATTATAGATATATTACTGTTCTGCAAATGGTTATGGTTGTCGTTATGATAATTGTACATAAATGTCTGTAGTACTAGCAATGACAGTTCTTATCATTACTATATTAATGTCATGATTGCACGAGTTTAATATGACCTTGAATATTTTTAATCACAAGAACTGATCATCCTCTTTTCTCCTTTAGTCTCGATCTAATAGTACGCCACGAATGGGGAAATATATACAACAATTGTGGTGCCAAATTTCACTTATCAAAGAAAGATCCTATGTAACACAGAAAAATGTTTAAAATTTTTTAAGTCTCTGCGTGCAATCACACAACTGTTTTAAGAAATATCCTGTACAAAAATTATTATAAGTATTTGTGAGAAATGAAAATGAAACTGAATCATTTTAAAGACTTTAAATGCAAATGAAATTCATATATTAAAAAACTATTGACAGAAAAATACTCTTCTCCTGCAAATCGATGTACTATTTTCTATTAATTTCAAATATATTTATTTTTATTTCTAGCATGTAAATATTTTATCCTACAGCTACAACCTCATTTTCGGTAGAAAATGTATATTCTAGTGTGAGTTGACGACCTTGCCAACACAGAATCTGAAGTATTAACGAATAACAGATGTGACAGGAAATTACTGGTGTAGTAAAAACCACACAGCGATTTCACTTGGCCGTGAAACAAAAGTTTCCCCCTAAAGCGTTAAATACTTGTAAAATGATTATGTTATCGGCCGACTGGAAAATATTAACATTGCTAATATCCCATAAACAACAAAAACTAGTTAATATAACCACATTTAAGAAAAAAAGCATACATAACTTACACAAGGAATGCATGATATCACTTGCAAATTGAGACACGATCATCTTGAAAATGTTCTCAAAACTCCTGCTATGATCTCCTTTTATTTAAATTCACATCCCTTTCTGTGGATAGATCCATTCCACTTCGACAGTTGGTCGTCTTTAGTTGTAGTGCCGAACCTCACTTTCTGATTCACTAAAAGAAGTGTTGCTGACCGCCTCTCTTCGCGTCCGCCTCAGCTCTTACTGACCCACATGTTAACTATTGTTTTGATCAGCGCGTCTGCTTATTGGTCCATAGCCCCAGACGGCTTCATTATTTCTCTACAACATTTTACGCCTGTGCGCGGCACCGACCTAATACCGTTCCCAGGCGTCAATTCATCTGTTCCTGCCGAAAGCGTCCTGTTCTTCATTTTCTGTTTGTCTGATCAGCATTAGCCTACGTAAACATTGTCTTTTTGCCTGCTGTTTAAGACTTTTTTCGAAAATAAAAGGTTTTTTATAACAAAACATATAATGCTACATTCTACTATACACTGCGCATTTATTAATAGGGCTGAACTTAGTTTCTCGACCGTCTATTTTACACATTATTGTTACTTTCTGAAATCATGAGGAATGATTTTCTCAATTCGTCCAACTCGAGGAGTCTTAGCATAGTTTATAAATGCCATGTATCACATGACCAATTATGAAAATGCATTGCAGTACATCATTTACATATGGAAGAGACATAGCATTCACTTAAACCGAAGTTAATCAGTTTTTAAAAATTCATTGAAAGGAAATCGATATTCAAGTACAGCCGCATTGAGGTATTCAACGAAAACGTTTTCCCATCGCCCCTGTCATCGGATACGTCCATCACTAGGACACTCATGCATAAAATCAGAGCTTTTCCTTCCTGCCAATAACTTCTCCTAACTTCGATATTTCATCTTTTTTTAACGAAAATGAGACCTACAAATGTATTGCGCTTCTCCCAACGTTTCCCCACAACGGTGTCTACACAATATTCGGAAATATTGTAATTTTTTAATCCTTTAAAAATAAGATCGAATCATACTAAAAATAAGGGAAGTAAAAACATGTCTGGAATTACAGTGTTAGTAAACGTTTACTTCTAGAGAATGTCAACAATTTTGATACTACATTTTGGAGAACTAGATAGTTATTTGGTAACTGCCACGTCCAACAAAAAACAATAACACCATTGTCTATGACTTCTTCCCTAACGTATATTCAGTTTCAGTGATTTCTCTGTCACTCTAACTCGAGAAAATTTGGGTGCTGAAATTTAAATGGATAAATTTAAATTGCTGGTTGAGGGACACGGATCACGCATTAATTCCACGTTCTGGCTGTTTTACGTTTTCCTTTAGCAAGTATCTACATTTCCTTCTGCGCTTCGACCAGCTGACTGTGAAAGTGCGAAAGATATCTCAATCAAGCGTTTCGTATACTTAATTTCGTTATTATTTATATAATATTTGTGTTACCTCGTCAGATCAGTTTTAGCCCGTCTATGAATCAAGTAATCAGATTATTCTTGTAAGGTTATATAATTTTGGTTTCGATTTATTGGAATGTAACATATACAAATTCGAATTAACTGAAATTTGTAATTGTTCTTATATCCGGAATCCAAGAACTATTTCTCCTTCCAAAAATGCGACTAATTTGTCGTTTACGTAACAATAGTATTTATTGCTAATCTTGTATCCAATATATTAATCGTTTTCTCTTTCCTCGTCATCGCAAAGGAAGAAGCGCAAAGTTTTCACCGTGGACAGCGCGAGTGATCTTCCGCATTCATGAGCCTTGAAATAATCAATGGATATGGATGATGGAAGAACTAAACTCATCAGTTTCAGCGTGCGAGTATAATGCAACTTAATGAACATGAAAACACCAACAAAGTAAACTATTCATTAGTTCAAAGTCAACAGAACTTCAACTCATGACAACGTGTCGCATGACAAAAATCAGTAACATCTATTTAAGTACAAGTTTTGTAATGAAACTTATAAAAGTATCTACATGAATAAAGTTATAGAACTACATATAGAGCATATTCAGATATAATAATTGTTATAGATTCATGATTAATATGATGTTTTTTTAAAACTATTTTCATTCAGACTTACTTTTGACGATCATAAAGCGCTTATGCTTTATTTGATAATAAAATACCCAAAATACCCAGTATCGCCCAGGTACTTTTTTCTAAATCAAATTTTCTCTCTCTTTCTCTCTCTCCTCTCTCTCTCTCTCTCTCTCTCTCTCTCTCTCTCTCTTGTCTCTCTTTCTGTCTCTTCTCTGTGTCTTCTGTCTGTGTTCTGCTCTGTGTGTCTCTCTCTGTGGATTCTTTTTGTCTCTCTCTGTGTATTTCTGTCTCTCTCTGTGTATCTTTCTGTTCTCTCTTGTGTATTTCTGTCTCTCTCTGTGTATTTTCTGTCTTCTCTGTTGTCTCTCTCTGTGTGTCTCTCTCTGTGTGTCTTCTCTGTGTGTCTCTCTCTGTGTGTCTCTCTTGTGTGTTCTTCTGTGTTCTCTCTCTGTGTGTCTCTCCTTGTGTGTCTTTCTCTGTGGTTTCTCTGTGGTGTCTCTCTCTGTGTGTCTCCTCTGTTGTCTCTCTCTTGTGTGTTCTCTCTGTGTGTTCTCTCTCTGTGTGTTCTCTCTGTGTGTCTCTCTCTGTGCTGTTCTCTTGTGTATTCTTCTGTGTGTCTCTCTCCTGTGTGTCTCTCTCTGTGTATCTCTCTCTGTGTTGTCTTCTCTGTGTAATTTTCTGTCTCTCCCATATGTCTCTCCTCTGTCTCTCCTCCTGTCTCTCTCTTGTCTGCTCCTCTGTTCTCTCTGTTCCTCCTCTGTCTTCTCTTTTCTCTGTCTCTTTCCCTCTGTCTTCTTGCCTCCTTGTCTCTCGCTTGTTTCCTCTGTCTTCTCTGTTCTCCCTCTGTTTCTCTGTTTTCCCTCTTCTCTCACTCTGTCTCTCCTCTGTCTCTCCCTCTGTCTCTCCCTCTGTCTCTCCTCTGTCTTCCCTCTGTTCTCTTGTCTCTTCCTCTTGTCTTCCCTCTGTTCTCTCCCTCTGTCTCTCCCTCTGTTCTCTCTGTCTCTCCCTCTGTCTCTCCTCTGTCTCTCCCTCTGTCTTCCTTGTCTCATCATCTGTCTTCCCTCTGTCTCTCCCTCTGTCTCTCCTCTGTCCCTCTCCTCTGTATCTCCCTCTGTCTCTCTATTGTCTCTCTCTCTGTCTCTCTCTCTGTCTCTCTCTCTGTCTTCTCCTCTGTATCTCTCTCTGTCTCTCTCTTGTCTCTCTCTGTCTCTCTCTCTCTGTCTCTCTTTGTCTCTCTCTCTGTCTCTCTGCTCTGGTCTCTCTTCTGTCTCTTCTCTCTGTCTCTCTCTCGTCTGTCTCTCTCTCTGTTCTCTCTTGTCTCTCTCTCTGTTCTCTCTCTCTGTCTCTCTCTGCTCTGTCTCTTCCTCTGTCTCTTCTCTGCTTCTCTCTCTGTCTTCTTCTCTGTCTCTCTCTCTGTCTCTCTTCTCTCATGTTCTCTCTCTGTCTCTCTTCTGTTCTCTCTGTTCTCTCTCTGTTCTCCTCTCTGTTTCTCTCTGTCTCTCTCTCTGTCTCTCTTTGGTCTCTCTCTCGGTCTCTCTCTTTGTTCTCTCTTCTGCTCTCTCTCTGTTTCTCCTCTGTTCTCTCTCTGTCTTCTCTCTGTCTTCTTGTCTCTTCTGTCTCTCTTTGTCTTTCTCTGTCTCTCTCTCTGTCTGCTCTCTGTCTCCTCTCTCTGTCTCTCTCTCTCTGTCTCTCTCTCTGTCTCTCTCTCTGTCTCTCTCTGTCTCTTACTTGTCTTTGTCTGTGTCACTCTCTCGCGCACACTCTTTCTCACCTACGCATGCTATCTCGCGCTCTCTGTCTGTCTCCGTCACTCTCTGCGTCCTTCCCTCGCCTAAGCAAAAATGTAATAGAATGTTCAAAAACATCTCATCAAAATTTGAGTTTTTAATGCCCCAGAATGATTAGTTTAGATGTTATTTAACAACACAACAACAAGTATGTTGTGGGTTGCATTTGGCATTAATATTTAGTCTTGTTCTACAGCGCTATCTAATGAATTTTTCCGTAATTTTAATACTTATTCGGCTATTCGGAGTGGAGATGACTAACAAATCAGAGATAATTAAAATTGGTTCAAGCGATCTTCTCGTTACAAATGCTGTAATGATCCCGAATTTGTGTTATATAAATAGATTGATTACTCGTACTAGTTAAATGTGGCGTTGCCGACGCTGTAAACTGATTTAAAAGTATTTTAATTCGTTTAAAATTTCTTTCATATTTCTTTTCTGTCACGCCTTGCTTTGTTCAAATATGTTCTTACAGTATCTGGCATTGGACTTATCAATGAATTGTAGTGGCTTTTAGTGTTATATTCCCATTCAAAAATTCACAATACCCAATGGCTTTATATGCTATATTATCTCGATACGGGATATGAACAGGTAACATTGCAATTTCAAAATTATAACTGCCATAAAAATTCTTGGTGGTATAAATGATACCAATACTTAGAATTTAGTAGAGCTATGTTTTTTACGTTTTGTTTTGTAATATGAACATAAATGATCTGTAAACAGTTTTTCTGCGTTATTCTCTAATCGTCTCCTTTATTATTTCGGTAGTATATGTACCTTTAGCGGCGCTCACACGCAGCCGATATTTATAAATGAAGTCTCTAAAGAAAGGGAATTTCACGGAGACGTGACAAATTGCACTGTAAATTTAAATATATGACGGATTTGTCAAATGCGCGTCAAATGCATCCGAATGTTCATGTCAATTGCAGTCCAATGCACTCAGTCGTATTTCGTTATAGAATTTCGAAACGAAGCGTTCTTGCGTCTTAAAAACTAAAATCTTGAGGCCAATGACCTCAAATAAAAGTTCCTCACATTGTAATCTACTTGAAGTTTTTCGAAAACTCAAAACTTTTCTGTTAAAAAGAGTTTTAAATTTCGAATTTACAGTACCGGTTAGGCGCCATTTTCTTAAAAACTGCTGGAATGTTTTCAAAGAAAATTGCAATTTAAGAAGAGGGCTTATTGTTTCTTAATATTCATAAAATAAAATTTACGTTCTATTATTTGAAAAGTGTCAAATTAAGAAAATTGCAAAAAATGTACTTTAGTCGGCGATAGATGGCAACTGGCAAGAGTATGTGGCAAGTTTGTTTATCTGGCCAAGACCAAAGGAAATAGAAAACTAATACGAAAAAGTCTTTGCCATTCTGCAGTACCACTCTTCTTGGTGTTGTTAAAATTGAACATTCCAAGGGATTTTGCAAATGTGTTATAAATAATTCCCAAGAAATACTAATATTATGAATTCACAATAAATTCTGCTGCACAATTTTCACTTGATATTGATCGATTTTTAACAATTACATTATACTTACTATTAAACACACAAATTACTTACTTGATCATCGAAAAGTAAATCTATATTTGCCATTTAAATGTGTTTTTATTTGTTGCATTTTGGTTGCAGTGATAACATTAGTTTTCTTTTATTTTACGTAAAAGTCTTGGTTAATAAAGGAAATATACTCTTTCGTTTCAAACAAATTCGTCAGAAATGTGGTTTCTCATAAAGACATAAGTGGTATAATTACACATTAAGGCATCGTCCGAAACACACGCGTTTCAGAACACTTGAAATATTCTTCCTGATTTCAACTATAAATGCTTATAAACGGGTGGTAAAATAGTATGTTATAGACCTTGTTTATAATACTGTACCTTTCCTTTTGCGCGAATAAGAGTTAACCCAACTCGCTTACTTTCTCACTCATTCGGTAATTTTTATGAGAGCGAACCATAACAAATGTTATATTGCTGTATAATATCATTATAAACTGATTAAGAAGTGAAAATAATTTTGGAATTCATGTAGTTCAAACTTCAGATATTCAGCTCTCCACTCATGAAACCTGTAATATGTTAGTATTTTTTTTTCAATTTACACATTTACAACTGCGAACGTTCGTAAATATCGATCTAAGAGTGATCACATAACTTTTTTCTCACAAGAGGATTATTAGATCAATAACCTCACAAGAAGTGAAGAACTTTACGTAAATTAATTCAAAACAGTTGAATTTGCTGAAAAGTAAAGAAGTTGATTATTGTCTTGAATACTTGTCTGACCATACATCACACATTATATTATTGTTTTTGTTTGTTTTTTTTTGTTTTTTAATTTAAGGTCGCATTAACATTCATATCATTAGCGACTCACAGTAGTTTGGTTAATTTTTAACAATAACATTTTAGGGAAGGGTTTTAGGGAAGAAGCAGAAAAGGGTATTATATATGAAAATCGTGACACACTGACATTGTCTTATATTTTGAATGTATCCTCGGCATTCAAATTACTAGAATTCATTTACTTTGTTGTTAATACAAATGATGGGAGTTATTTATATGCTACCATTGTACTCATCTGTTCAAACGCGTCTCTTGTCAGGTGCTTCATCTGTGTTTTCATCCTTCGTGCAGAAAAAGACGACGACATAATGAGTTGTGCCATAAAATGCCAATTTATGAACGATTTACAACACGACAAAAATTATAATGAGATAGACTGTTCATCGATACGTTGTTCCGCTATCTAAGCAACAGCGAATCATAAACTTCGGCACTCGCAAAGTGTTGTCAGTCCAAATTATAGAACAAATGAATTACACGGCTCGAACGTCACAATTAATCAACAGAGCGTCATTGCAAATGTCGGGAGTGAGGTTAATTGTGATAAAATGTGTTCTGTGAACGAGGATTGTGAGCGGTGTGTGATGTTAGTTTGCTTGTTAATGTTAATCGCGTATCGTGAAGTGGTAGCTATAGTAACGTGTAGAGCGCTTAGTTTACCGCAACGCCACCCCCTTCCCACCGAACTGTATGTATGTATTTGGTGTTCTAGGGTCGGGTTTATCCAACATTTGCCAGCTAGCGCTATTCCAAGCCTGGGTCCTGTTTTATTTATTAGCTTCGCCTGGTATTAAGGGAGACATTTCCTTCACCGTATCTTGCACTCTTGACTTCTCTGAGATTTTCTTTTATCACATAGAAATAGAACGTGATACGATTCTAAAGGAAAGCTGTAGCTCCTTTTTTCCTCGGCTGGGAATCGAACCCGCGATCGCACCACGGAAATCTAGTCCATGAACTACTTGAGGGTCTCACCCAACTGTCAGCCATTCCTATTTTATGCGGATTTTTGTGTATGGAAAAATGTCGTTTAGGACGACTGCACAAAAATGTTAATAGTCATTCCTTGTGCAGATGAGGAAAGGCTTTTCTTAATTTATTCACGATTGACACGTAGACGCTCAGCAGCTGGGTACGATTTTTGGTAGTGATTTTACGTGCTTTTTGATACTAAATGAAGGACATGAGTTATTTAATAAACATTTGGAAATCCATTCCGCCAATTAAATTGTCGTGGAAGTTTTCGTTTTATATATTTACAGAGGGGATTTTTCTTACCAATTATTAAACTCGTTACTGAAGGGAAGTGATGAATTCTGTGATAGAACCGAGAGGATAAAAGGGAAAAGTGAATGGAAATTGGATGAGGTAACGGCGAGTTCATTACGCAGTAGGAAATTTGATATAAATCAGATAGCTTTTATAAGATCACGGCGCAAAAGGGTTTATTTTGTAAAATCGTGAGTTTTAAATATCGAAACCGTAGGCTCCCGCGGCCAGAATCAGTATCTACTGAGCATGAGCCGCATCCTAGGCACAGATATCAACGTTTCCTTTCACCTTTCGCCCTCAGGAATGTCGCAGCCGAAACGTTGGCATCTGTGTCTGGACGCGGCGTCTCCATGACAACCGAGTAGATAGGCTTCATTTTAAATATTGTGTTTGCAAGGTCTTAAAGCGTCAGTGCAGCATTAACCCTGCGTGGACTTTAACTTTACCAGGAGGATAAATCCTGTGGCGTTTTTGCCTTTGTTCTCACTCCCCGCGGCCGACACGCATGCTTTGGGCTATTGGTATCTGTATCCCGCGGAAACGCAGTTAACCCTCTCCCCATACAATGCCTGGGTCGGGCCGCCCCACCAGCTCAGAGCTACTTGATTTTCGGGTTTGTGCCAGAGTTGAAACATTGCGCCACTGACAATGCGCCGAGACAAGCCCCTCCTCTAAGCCCAGAGAATCGGGCCACTGTCATGACGAAGCCATGTTCCCAAATATGAACCCCGGGCGAAATCCAGTTGATTTGGTCCCTCCAATCCGTCTCCTCCATGCCTCCAACTTGAAGCTATCGACGTGAGTGCCGCCGGGACATAGACAACCTGGAAGAGGTCGCCGTCTGGTTTGTATATGTGGGAACCTGAATAAATCCTTTGCCCAATCCCACCCAAACATCATCGTGCCAAAGGTGGGTTACTTGACTAACCCGGCAACACGGAGCTTGACACCGCCTACTCACTGCCTCCACCTTGAAGCTAACGACGTGAGTGCCGCCGGAACCTAGGCAACCTGACAGGGGAGTCATGGTCTCCGTCTGAACTTTTATATGTGGGATCCGGTCATTCCCAATAAGTCCTTCGTCCAATCCCACCCAAAAGTCTACGCGCCAGGGGACTAACTGGTGCGTTACTGTGCGAACCCATCAAGACGGAGCTTAGCATATTCTTCTCACTGCATCTACCTTGAAGCTAACAACGTGAGTGCTACCGAGAGACTCAGGCACCGGGTGGATGTCTCTGTCTCAACCCAGAACCTCATGCCTCCCCCCCCTGCGGGGAGGGGACCCAAGACGATAACCTGCATTTAAATCTTGAGTTTGCGTGGTGTGACAGCGCGAGCGCAGGCGCACCTCCGTGGCCGGAGTGGGCGTGGGCGTGGGCGTGGACGAGGCGCGGCGGGAAGGCGAAGAGCGCGGCGCGCAGCGGGCGCCCGCGCAGGTGTCGCGCCTGCGCCGCCAGGGTGCGCTCCACGTCCGCCGCGCGCGCGCCGGGCGCCAGCGCCCGCGTCGCCGCCTGCCCCGCGCCGTGCAGCGGGTCGCCCAGCACCACCCTCGCGCCGGCCGCCGGCACCAGCGCCGCCATCTGCGGCACGCCACACTTCTAAATGCACTCCACCACGCTCCATCGAGATATTAGAATCAATAAGGAGTTTGGCTTAGATAAGAATTAGAGGATTCTATTCAACCGAATTTCGTGACTTTTGTTTAAACGAAAGTTAGCGGTACCAGATGTGTGATCGCTTGCTATTATCATCCGTTTTGTAGTATAAAGAATATATTTTAATAATACCTAATAATTCTATTCAACCGAATTTCGTGACTTTTGTTAAAATGAAAGTTCCCGGGCCCAGATGTGTGATCGCTTGCTATTATTATCATCCGCTTTTGTACCATAAAGAATATATTTTAATACCTTAAAATTTATTACAAAATCGCTAGTCATTTGTTTATTCCGTATGTCGTTTTCAAGACACACTACTTTTGAACTAAACGATGTAGATTGTTGTTTCGTATTGCGAGTTGCAAATATTAGTTTATAAAAACGCAATAATCAACAGTCCATGTGTTCCTTTAACAAAATTTTTCAGCATTTACAATTTACATGTGATGAACTAGGTTTTTAATTAAGAGGAATGAAGGCTACTACAGCCCACTATGATGTAGTCCACAAAATATATGTCCAGATCTTCATAAATACAATTTACATTTCCAGAAATATATTTAATTGTGCGTTGACTGAGAATAGTGATTGCATTGTTCCAGATTTTGATAAACCTCCCTCATTTTATTAGTCTTAAAGAAGTATCTCTAAATGCCATAAAACAATATTTTTACATGAGAGTTTCAAATTTCCAGTACATACCTAATAGTTGTTTATTCTACATCTTTCTTATAAATATCCCTTTTGTGCTATTTAATCGCAAGGGTTCAGCTAGTAGTGATTTTCGTTACAACGCAAAAGAGTGCATGCTTCCTAGACCGATGAGTTCTTGGACGAGGCCGAGTCTAGGAATCCAGCCGTGTCATGGAAAATCACTTTCGCCGTGGCATGTACGATACTTTATTCGAGACCTCAATTTTATGACATTTTGTCCTTGCGATATACAAAGTTAGTTCATTACGAGAACATACTTCCCATTTTTACGTTCAGCAGTTGGTACGCAATTTGTTTTCGAGTTGTAGACTGCCAGTTGAATGTGAATTGCGATGGATATTGTACGCATTTCCAATTAAAGAAAATTTATTATCCTTGTAACATACTTTATCAACGACAAAGGATTATTTAAATAATTTCGATGGTTCTGCGCTGGCCATGAATAGAACACTTGAACAATTGAAACCTATATTTTCGTTTAGTTAACTAAATATGCTCATTGATTCCATGAAAAATCATTTATTATCGCTATGTTTAATGCACATGTGCAATTAAAGCTCCACCGGGTAAGTAAAACATAACTACCAATCAGAATACAGAAAAATATCAAAATCGTTTAATTAATACGCTATAACACAGACATGGCCAAAGGTATTTCCAGTCAGCCATGAATCAAAAATGTACTTCGCAGATTACGTACCTACATCCAGTACAAATAGACAATGAATGAATAAAACAAAATTCGTTAAGCAAACGTTAAGCTAGGGACTAATGGAACAATATTAAGTTACTAACACGAATAATTTAAAGGTTTTACATGTAGAACATTGTGACAAGTGTGTCACAAAAAACTTTTTTTAACATTCCAATATTTATACATGTTTTATTCTTTCATACCTTGATTTTTTTATGGGAAGTAATATTTTCATGGCTTTGTACGCATCTTCTAATATATCATCCAGAATGTTTCCTTTACCAAAAACGTTATCTTTCTCCTGATGTAATCTCCGTTTACTTCCCTGGTGTTGAAGTGACCATAATCTTTGTTATTGGCTGATCACCAATACTCATTGTTTACTAATTGATTTCGTCTTTTGTTTACAAAATAATTTAAAAATATATTTCTTCCATTTAAAAATAAACACTATTTCAAATCCCATCACAACGTATTTATATAGCGGGAATTATTGACTCGAGTGCCTTTTTTTGTTTGCTAATAACGCATTTCATAATTTATGAGGTATGGATTAGCTTATTAATATTAATAAAAGCTTTAACAACCGTTTTGCCTATTCTGAAACTCTAAAGTAGAGTTTAAAAAATCTGGACATCATTATTATCGACAGTGGCATGTATGGCTAAATATGGAAAACGGTGGCTGCGATTTTCAAAGAAAAAACGTCTGTAACCAAGTACGTTCCTCAAAAGAATGCTAGAAAATGTTTGAATCTGCCGCTGAACATTAAAGAATTTCAGTTACAAGTAAAGTCTTTTTCCAGTTTGAAGTAATCATACTCTTATTTCGAAGGCTCTACACAGATAATTATCGCTAGGGTGATATACGGTAGGGTGTAAAGGGCTAGGGTGTATATACGCTAGGGTGATATACGGTAGTAAGTAAATATGCGCGAATTTTGGAGTGTACGTATTTATGAATTTGATCCTAATTGAATTTCAGCTGCATTGGACAATCTTGTATCAATGCAAATTAATACAATTAAAAGTAATATTTTCATTTTCACTTTATGAAAAGACCCGTGTGGCGTTGAAGGGAGCCATCTTTCAAGACAATCTGTTCGTTTTCTACGAATCATTACCACCACACAATCAGGATCCAAGTCTGAAAAAAGTGCATTTTGGCTCTAAGAAAAGAAAGAACAAATTAGCAGCTAAAATGGAATGAAAATATTCTAAAAAAAACAAGTTTGCACCATTTTTGGGTTCATGCAATTGACAACGTAGGTAGAAGAGGTAAACAACCTCTTCTTTTCAAGAATGTTAAGGGTTATGGTGAGTTCTGATTTACACGTTTTGTTAAGGTAGTGATTGGAGGACCCCTGCTCAAGCATCCAAGACATTCACAACAAAAATACAACTAACGACTTATTTTCCGAAGGTCTTTTGATCAAAAAATTAGACAAAAGTGGAATTTATATTTATCTCACTTTGTTTTCAGAATTTTGTTGTTGTGTAAAGGAAAATTAATAATTTATTAGAAAACCACTGTGTACAGTATGCTAAACAGTCTCATATAGAGAATGTTTTTCAGGTTCAAGAATTAAGCAACTTCCATAATTTTGCCTAGAACATGTACCAAGCATTAGTTTACGATAATTTATATGCTTAAATAATATTCCTCAGGGGGAGTGGAGGTCAAATGTTTTGAATCTTTAATCGCAAACCGATTAATGTCGACCAATCTACCAACGGACCTTGGACTTCATTATCTTCGATTTCATCACACAACTTTTTTATTTCCTTTACTTCACTCCCAGGGTGTTTTCTAAGGTTATTTGTAAGAAAATTTATTTTCAGAAACGGCTTTGATTTCCTTGAAGAATTGGGTATGAAAATTACCACGAAAATCTATTGTATTTAGCACTCTGGCTTTCATGATCCCATTCACCAGCATTAGAGAAGATGATGCGTAATGCCTCAGGCTAAACGCAGAGAAGTTATGCCATTCATTTCTACGTACTAGAGTGGGAATATAGGAAAAAGTGTATTTCACTTGGGCAATCCCGTTTAAGCACTCGCACGCTCCCTTTGTATTATACCTATAAATCCTTTCTGAACGTTCTCCGTGAAACTTCCTCCTCTGCAGCACATTAAAATATATATAAATATGCTTCCACGCAGCCAGATAATTCACATATACAGAACATTACTGTGAACCATATTTCAAAACTTTAGGAGATTACAATTTGTTTTAGAATTTTAAGTAAATAGTAGTTCCATTTGCATACAAATCTGCTGTTTCATTCATTCATAATGTCCACGTTCTGCAACCACTTTCACCTAACAAAAGTATAGAAAGAAATTTGAAGCATTTGTATTACGATTCGCCATTTATAAATTTTATATTTTTTTACAGAAGAACAAATGAAATTTATACCTTTTCCATTACGGTCAAAAATTAAGTATATTTGGTTCCTTCCAATTCTAGCATTTCATAAAATGTATGCCTTGTTATATTCATGCATATACATTTTGGCTGCGTTTTATATGTGCATGTCAAGAAATATATGAGACTTTTTGAGAATAATACACAATTTTCTTCAAAACTGAATGTTGCACTGACGGTTGCTTGTGGACCCGCTGCCAATCTGTCCATTTTTGCTATCATATTTCCTTCCATTCATTCCAGGTCTTTTTTCCTTTTTGGTCTAATTTGATAGCGAAACAAGTATGGTTATAAACAAATAATATTAACTCATGCCACAAAGGACCTAAGGTTGTGAAAACTGAAAATTTCTCTCAACTTTTCAGATTTCTTACTCTGTCGACGATACCATCAGGTAGTATGTCCAAAGGTATATGTACGTACCGAAAGGGAAAGTAGTGTCACCTTCTTTGTGATTAATAAGTTTAAAATAGTTAGGCTCTCCAAAATATTCGATTAGCTGTGAACAAAGCGAGGAACATTCTGAAGTAACTAGATAAACGGAAAAATCTACAAATTAATTCAATATAAGAATCTGAAGCATTTGAACAATTTAATTCGGAGAGTGAAACAAAGTTTGGATGATTCTACATCTCATATGGCTAGTGAAGTGCTACAGTAGTAGTAGTGTATAGTAGTAGCTAGTCCAGAGTACATATGCTATCTATCGCCTGTAAAATATCGCTTTGTGCACATCAGCTTCATGAGAGGTGTGAAAGATATGCGAATAAACAAAACAAAACCACACACAACACCCGACCCACAACACCACCACAGCAACAAAACAAACAAACACCAAACACAACAAACAAACAACACAATAAAGAAAGAAAGCAAAGAAAGGAAAGAAAGGAAAGAAAGAAAGAAAGAGATAAGAAATCAAAGAAAGAAACGAAAACAAATAAATAATAAATTAATTAATTCATTACTTAATAAAATATTCCCCATCCATACCTCGACCACCTTCCACTCCTTCCAGGCCAGCTCGAAGAGCGCGTCCAGGCGGCAGGGGCCGCGCGCGGAGAAGGCGAAGAGGAAGCGGTCGCGCGGGTTCCAGTGGGCGGCGGCCGCGAGGCGCGCCAGGGAGGCGTTGAGCGCCCCCGCCGCGCACTCCCCTGCCAGCAGCAGCACGGCGTCGCTGCGCTGCGGCGCCAGGCGGTCGGGCTGCGGCGGCGGCGCGGCCGCCAACCTGCACCGGGAAGGAACGGCGCTCAGCAACGCTTCTCAGCGGCGCGTCTGCTGAACGGTTAATGCATCCAGGGATTAAACAGCGCTCTGTCTGCTAAGAACAATCGAATAAATGAGTTGAGATTTTAGCTAAGGAGCTAAGGAGCTTTGTAGCTGATGAATGCAGATGTGTTCTTCTATTCCAAGAAAAGGTATTTCTTATTTACATCGTATTTTCCTACAAGAATGTGGTGTTACGAAAACTAATGAACGGCACAAGGCCAATACCACAAATCGGTTAGCAATATGCTGTTTATCGGCCTCATGATGTTAAAAACTTTATGAAACTCGATGTATTGGTGTTAACAGCACTCATTTTAAGTGTACAACACTCACATCGTAATATTGTTTCGTATAAGTGTATTAGCACTCATTATTACATTATCGTTTCGTAATATTCTATTATTTGAAAACTGAAAAGTAAAGGTAATTATAACATGTTTAAGTGTTTACAAAACACAATGATAAACGCTTTTGGTACGTTACAGTAAAGTGTAATGAAGATAATAAAAATTTAAGTATAGTAATAATGTTTATACAAAACAAAATGTAGAGAACGTTACCCACAAATTATGAGATAAATGATTCAAATTTTAAACATTTTCACAAATAAAGTGCTCGTGCATTCCTACAAACCGTTGCGTGGCTATTTCATTAGTCGTGAGTGGACAAGGGCCAGTAATTATTCGCATACTCTGGATTTTTAAAGCACCCCACATCCAAGCTCGCAATATATCTACAAGCCCGAAGGAAAAACCGCATTCATGAATGTCAAATGAAATCGATAAAATAAACAAACCACATGACCGATGCTCCACAAAAAGGATAACTCAGGCTGTACAGCCCAACACCGCGGCCGCGCTTGCGGACACTGAGCTTCAAAAAGAACAGGCCAGGGTTGCCAACCATTCTATTCGGAACATTTAGGATGCCTCAGAGTCAAATGAACAGCGAAGTCGAATTCACTGATCTAGTTCGATTCAGCTTGACATTGCTTTCTTCCAATTCTGAAATGGAAACATTTTGTAGTCCATTACATTTCTCTTTTTAAATAAGTGTTCAATAATTAATAAATAATATTGTTTACTTAAATGCCTTCAGTCAATGTCAACTGTAATACCAAAAATCATTTCAATTTTGAAATATTTTCTTTGCGTACGCAAATATTCAGATATAAGTATTCAAATATAATTAAGAGACTTTTTTATCTGAAAACATGATGCTCAAGAATATTGTAAGTTCGTATACCATTAGAGAAGAAACATTAGAAAGCAGCAACATCATCTTGGTAAGGTTGAACCTACCAATTTAACTATCTTTTACTGAATATCTTTTACAGCAGCGAAGTCAAAAGAAAATTAAATAGAGTTTATCCCCTAGATGTAAAATATTGCCCAAAAAATGGAAAGTTCTATTATTATTATTCTCTTAAATAAATCAAATAAGTATTCTCAACTTTTAGATAACTATAGACCAACTACCGTACTAGCAACTATAACAAAATATTTTGACAAACTGCTTTCACCTCTTCTAAATAAATTTTTTATCTTTACCTTTTCGCCCTCATTTCAGAAAAGTTTGAAAAAAAGCACAGAATCTTCATCCAAAGAACACAAAAAAAGAAAGGATTAATTATCAGCAAATAGATCTTAATCCTCACATGTATGCCAAGTTACCACTAAAAATAACCCCAAACATGGGTTTTACGATCGAAAATTCGAGGTTCGCTTGTTGAGGTAATTCCAATACGTTTCCGCCCTTATGATATAGCATAGGGAGGGGAAAAACACTTTATTTTATACTACGTCGCATTTTGGTTCTTTCCTTGCCGCAACGCAGGACGCAAAATGAGACATTGCAGCCTTACCGTAATGGAATCTTAAACCAACTTAAGAACTTGAAAAATCTGATACCAACTTTTCTGATTTTTTTATAAATACGTGATTATCACCAACAATGCTATTGATTACGAGGAAGAAATTTATAATCATTCATGCAAAATGTACCATATGATGACGAAGTGAGAGAAATTATTTATTTTTAATTTGTAAATGCAAATAAATAGCACTTATCAAACACATCTAAACATTTATAGTAACACTCACAATTGACGGTTTCTTGTATTTTCGATTATGCTACAGATATTCAACCGACTTCTTAAGACACGGTATCAATTTATAATATTTGGAATAGTGTATAGTACATTGAACCAAACAATAGATTTAATAAAGGAATATTTTGAACATAAATCGGAATTCACTTTTTTATTGTATCAAAATTTGTATTATTAGTTGCAAAATACGTTACAATGTCATGTAGCAACAGAAGGATCCACTTATAAAGTGTGATAACAATAGATCCTCATTAATTATAATAATATTATTTTATTTTTCCAGAAGCAAAATTGTACTCATTATTCATTTCGTTCATTAACATTTCGTTCATTTTCTGAGATATTACTTGTTCAATTACTTCATTGGATTTATCTATAATCGCTTTTCGAAGCATCTCTTTACCTTTCAATTCCATTTTAAAATGTTCAGAGCACGGCAATTCTTTATTAGCATTCATACATCTTGAAATATTATCACATTGAGATGAAATAAATGGACGGATATGCGATATACAAGTGGTATGAAACCTGTCACCACACCCAGGCGGAAATGTTGCATTACTCGTTAGATATTCCAGCCACGGCTCTTTCGTCGTCTCGGCTGGACACATCTCACTCGTAATGTAACATTTTCCATCCTTAAAACGTAAATTATTCTTTCGAATCACGAACCTCGAGAACGAGTATTACCTTCAAAATCTGGAGATAAATGTTTTTGCAACACTGCTTAACTTGCTCTAAATTACTGTTCGTCAACAAGAAAGTAAACAATACAACATAAATGTATAAACTATACCACGTGATATATGCTCACTTTATTATTAGCATGCAAAGGAATTCGGGGAATATAAATTGCGGGCCAGAAGAAAAACGAGAGTTAAACCCTTATGTAAATTAGGGACCAGCAAGTGAAGCACATACGTAAATTGGGCACCGAATACATTATCCCCTTCCAGGTAAAAGTGAAAGGTGACACTTAATGAAGAACATGTTCATAGCCATTAGTTTTAAAACACAACACCCTTCCCAGTTTTCCAGACTTAAGACTGAGATATATTGTTCGAATTATGGTTTGGTTAATGTTGGTTTTCATTCAACTAAATCATTCGTTGATTGAATGAATTCTGCTTTTCATTCCATTGTATATTGTTCCATTTTTCAGCTAATATTGTTAACTCTGCTAACTCTGTAGTGGAAATTTGTACACTCTTCAAGTGTACTACTCTTTTGCTTTTCATTTTGATAAAGAAGCGATTCTGGAAGATTTTCAATAAGGCACAAGGAAAAGCTAGGCGGCGGTGATGGCAACGGCGGCCCTCCTAAGACACTTACCTGCTCTATCAGTCATTTTCCTTTACCAATGCTCCTTTGGTCCTCAATTTACGCGAAGAATTAGAAAGTACGTTTCGCGAGAAGAGATCAAGGGGATTATTTGGTCCGCAATTACCACACGGTCAAGAAACCCAAGAAAAACAAGAATATATATATATATATATATATATATATATATACTATGTGCGCGTGTGTGTGTGTGTGTGTGTGTGTGGTGTGTTGTGTGTGTGTGTGTGCCATAGCTGTATACAGTTGTGTATGTTTATATATTGAGTGTATATGCTCGAAAGGAGTGTAATTGTAAATTGGCGGGGGGGTTTTTTTTATTGGGTTAAAAAAAATTTTGGTTTTTTTTTTTTTGGAATTAAAATCTTCATATTGTAAAACTGTAGGGTATGGCTACCACTGGCAATCAGCCATTGTAGCCAAATAATATTTTATACAACAATCGCAAGGCTTCGATTCCGCACCTCGTGAGCGCGCGCGCGTCCAGGGCAGGCCGGCGGCGTGCAGCCGCGGCAGCACGGCGGGCGCGAGGCGTCCGCCCGCGCCTCCCCAGCTTCAGCAGGCGCCTTGGGCGCGTCCAGCACGCGCTGCCCGCCTCCGTCGCGGCCGCTGCGCCCCGCTCGCCTCGCGCGCAGGCGCCGCCACCCTGCAGCGGGAAGGGCCGACGTCGTGGGGAAAGGTCCGCCACCACGTGCGGGGGAGCGGTAAGGGCCCCTTCCCACGGCGCGACCGCGGCGCGCTTCCTTGAAGCAGCAGAGCCCTTCCGACGCCGCCACCGCTGCAGCCACGGCCGCACCGCCGCCCGCACCGCTGCCAGCCGTGGAAGGGGGCGGGTTCTACAAGGGTAGGGCCCCTTCCCACGGCGCGATGACGGTGCGCTTCCGAGCAGCGCGGCGCGTAGCAGAACATTGGTTTGAATGGAGGCCTTCCCACGTGCAGCGGGTGGCGGCTGCTGCGGCAGCCGACGCCGAAGGGCGCCTTCCCACGGCGCCACGGCGCCGCGCTTCCTAAAAGCAGCAGAGCCCTTCCGACGCCGCCACCGCTGCAGCCACGGCCGCAACGCCGCCAGCCGTGGAAGGGGGTGGGTTCTGCAGGGGATGTTTCGCCGACCCTCCGGCGACGTCGAACAAAGGGACCGCAGCAGGTAAAACGCAGCGACCGGCTATCATTTAAGGCTACCATTTAAAGCTGTTTTCTGTTAGCGGTGGCGCGTACGCCCACCTCCGCTTCGCGTAGCGAGAGTTCTCCGCTGCTTGCCGCAGCAGCGCCCGCCCGCTGCACGTGGGAAGGTCTTCATTCAAACCAATGCTTTACTACGATCCGCAGCGCTCGGAAGCGTACCGCCGTCGCGACGTGGGAAGGGGCCCTAACGGCAGAAGGTGCCTTACGGGCCGTTCCCCGGGCCGAAGGCGGATGAGAGGGAGCTGTAAGAACCCCAGTCATGGCAAACAGCAGTTCATTGAGGAGGTGTTGCTTTCATTCGCACAGGACGTAGCCCAGCCTCGCCGAGGACTGTTCTGCGGAAGGGAGACTTTGCGGCGACCATCGGACGGGTTGGCGACACTCGAAGTGCACGGTGGGCAGGGGAGAGGGCGGGAAGCTGCTAGCAGGGCTCCGGAAGGTCGGGCTGGACTAGTGAGGTGGAGAAGTGTCGGTAGAGCCAGTTATGGCCGATCTGAACCGACAGAAGAATAATAGATGAATGGCGAGTTCGGGCCAAACTGGTCGGAGTAGGGGTAAAGGGAGGTCGCCCGGGTCAGTTAGGGCCGATCTGAACTGATGGAGGAGTGGAAGGGCCGTGCGCACGGGCGACGAGCTCACGAGTAGCAATTGTCTCCCTGGCAAGCGGAGGTCAAGCTGTTATACAGGCCTTTCCTGCTGAGACGCTATTTTCGAGGTGGAGTAATGCAATTGTGCTTACGC